ATTCTTTAGTGCTCTTTAGGGGAGGCCTCCCCTCTTTAGGGGAGGCCTCCTCCAGGTACATGTTGTAGGCAGGAGTGGCTGAGGAAAGGAGGAAGGAGGGGGAAGTGGCTGAGGAAAAAAAGAACAACAAGAACAACAAGAACAACACAAATAGCTGACATCATTCTTTAGTGCTGTAATGAAATAAACTTGGATAATCATTTCCACAATACGACTATCAAAGTCGATATTAACTTCGATCAAATCGGCCTCCTGTGTCTCCTGTTGTCACTCCTTGGAATTGATCTCTCACCCGTCAGGAGGTGGTCGATGTGATTGGCATCAAGGATTCTGACGATGGATCACTCGTCGTCCCCGAGGAGTGTAGTGCATCATCACCATCACCACCATCATCGACATCATCATCATCATCGTCGTCATCAAAACCAGAACCAGAATCGTACGACACGACGCCATGGTCGACTTGCCATGCTATTGGATCCACAATTGCTGCTGAAAGTCACCATTTTTGTCCTCCTATTATTTGCTGTGGCCATCTTCATAATCGACCAGAAGTTAGAGTCTGAGGAGGAGAAGGAGGGAAGTGGAGACGAGGACTCGAATCCATTGACGAAGAGTGCACAATTAGGAAAGGGGCACAATCTGGCAGAAATAGCGCGGAAAGGACTGCCCTTTCGCGTACAGGAAAAGAGGTCTGGCTCGGGCGAAGTGGGTGGAGAATCTGGAGATCAACAGCCACCTCAGTTGATGTCTCCCCAGCGTCTCAGCAGTGAAAGCGAAGTACTGTTATTGAGGACACAACCTAACCTCTCGTCTTGGCTTACCCGCGACCTAATCTCCTCAGAGTCTTCCTCTGCCTCTTCCTCTCCTTCTTCCGAGTCGCTCTTGGATTCACGGATAAGCGAATCTCTGGCAGAAATGAATCCTTCCCTCGAGGAGGACGAACATGAGGCTGCTCGGCAGGCAGAGCCTGCAAGCGGTATCGAGGATGAGACCGACCCTCTCTCGATGGAATCTGACATACGTAAACCGTCATCGACCGAATCGTTTCCATTCTTTGGCCACACACTCCCAACTGCAGCAGTTATATGGAAGGTGAGCAAGGAAGTAAAGTCGTTCTTCTTCCGGTCTCCCAAGTCTGAACCAGGGCAGCCTCAGGCAGCTGCAAGCGGTGGACGGTCAGTCGATGAATCCTCAGTCTCTGATGGAGGTGACGACGGTTTGTCGATCAACTATAGGGTATCAGGCGTGCAATCAACTGGTGCTAGTTCTGATCATAGTCTTCAGCGAAGTGCTATAATTTTTACTAGTCATACAGATAATGACTCTGTCGCCGCCTTGGGGGGGGTGGAGACACACACCACCAGCAACAGCAGCAACAGCAGCAACAGCAGCAACAGCAGCAACAGCAGCAACAGCAGCAATAGCAGCCGCAGGAGGAAGGGGTATAAGCAAGAAGAAGAGGGCCTTCCGAAGCTGACGTCACCGTTTAAGCTTGGCGTTGACGTGATCCATTCTTTGCTTTCCACAGAAATGGACATTACGTTGAACAGGATGCTCCTGGAAATGCAAGGCAGCATTTCGTGTGGCGGTCTGCCGATAATGGAGTTCGGCAACTTCGATGAAATCAGTGAGATAGATGAGAGTCTGATGGATGTGATTCCATCGATGGATGTGGTGGGGCCCACAGGAGGAAGATTGCGGAATCAGAGCTATTACAAGTCGTGTGCGGTTGTGGGAAACAGCGGCTCCTTGCTTCTTCAGAATTACAGCGCCAAAATTGACCGAAGCGACGCCGTCATCCGGTTCAACTCAGCTCCGACACGTGGCTTCGAATCGCATGTAGGGTCGAAAACGACGATCCGTATCCAGAACGTAGATTACCTGGGATGGAGGGAGGCGAACAGGGATAAAATCGCCATCTTCACCGGCAGGAATGAGAGGGATTTTAAGCGATTCATCGCTCAACGCCTTCGCCATCCTAATCATGTCCAATACATTTTCAATCCCGAGTGGTGGTGCCATGTGTGGGACTGGGTGAAGAGGAGGAAGTTGAAGCCCAGCACCGGTTTGGCGGGCGTGGTTTTGGCACTGCACCTCTGCGCATCTGTAAACCTGTTCGGCTTCCGGATCAATTCCACCACGTTTCACTACTACAATTCGCTCCCGAAGAACGTGAAACGCCAAGCCATCTTTCGATATCATCCCTTGTTGGAAGAGGAAGCAGTCTATGCCGAGTTGGCGGAAAACGGATTTCTTACCATCGTGAACTGATCGCTTCTCAACGGTTCTGATCTCGTTTCGCGGTGAACTCGTTTGAAGATGTGGCGCACTTTTAGGTCATCTGCTGCCCCACTCCCGTGTGTATGTCTATCTCAGGATATCACCCAACACATGTACCAATATCATCATCAGCTGTTATTTGTATAATATTATACGACATACCAAATTCTCCCTTGGGCGCTTCTACTCACTTCCAGATGGGTGTTATGTGATTGGTTGGTTGATTTGTGATTTATTAATGGATCCTGTGTGGAAGTGAGGAGAAGCACCCAAAGAATAGATCGGTTGATGTCTTGTAATTTCTGCAGTGATTAATCTGCAGACTGAGTGTAAGATTTTTTTTTAACTTCGTTATTTTTAACGCCCTGCAGGGTCCGGCTGCTGGAGGTGATAAGAGCATCATCCTCGAGAAGAGGGAGCCCAAAATGGAGAGAGAGAGGGACGGAGGGAGGGAAGCAGGGACGGATGGACGTATGGATGGATGGATGGATGGATGGATGGAGGGAGGGAGTGAGGGAGGGATGGAGGGATGGAGGGATGGAGGGATGGATGGACGGAGGGGTGGAGGGACGGAGACAGAGGGAGGGACGGAGAGGGGGGGAGGGACAGACGGATGGATGGAGGGAGGGAGGGAGGGACGGATGGACGGATGGACGAACGGAGGGAGGGACAGAGGGATGGTGGGACAGACGAAGGGAGGGCCGGTGAGGGAGGGGGGTTGGGACGGAGTGAGTGAGTGAGGGAGGGACAGACGGAAGGAGGGATGTACGGACGGATCTGCCTTTGTTTTACTCTTGAAACTGCCAAATGGAAGTTGTATCTTGCCCTAGAATGTGAAAAGATACATCCGTTGTTGCTGTTTTGTCTTTCACATTTGTGGAGCAGTGTGGCGG